GGGCTGGTCTCTGACACTCACTGGCCCAGGATGATGCTCTGTGGTTGCCTTGCAGCCTGGGGGGTGGGGGTGGGGGGTCCCCTTCTCCTAAGACACAGGCTGAATGAGGAGTGTATGAGTTTGCTGGGTCTCCCATAACCACGTACCACAGACGGGGTGACATAAGCAACAAACCTTTATTTCCTCACAGTTCCAGAGCTGTGCTCACCAGAAGCCTGAGGTCCAGGCAGCAGTCAGCCAGGTGGGTTTCTTCTGCGGCCTCTCTCCTTGGCTTGCAGGGGCCTGGCCTCCCTTCCCCTCCTCCACGGGCCCTCCCTCTGTGTGTGTCTGTGTCCTAATCTCTCTCTATAAGGACATCACTCCCATTGGAGATGGGCCCACCCTGATGGACTCACTTTAACCTTAGGTCTGTAAGGGCCCCATCTCCAAGGGCAGCCACATTCTGAGGTCCTGGGGTCAGGGCTTCAACATAGGAACTTGGGGTGAGACACCGTTCAGCCCATAACAAGGAGGAAAGCCTTCTGTTTTGGAAGGCAGGGAGGGGACCTGGATCCTGGATGGGGAACCAACAGCATCCGGGACTTGGGGAGAGACAGAAAGCACCAGGTGAGGAAACACATTCAGTCCAGAGAGTGAGACGTGTTTTTAAAGAAAATGAAACAGGGTAAGGTGATCAGGGGCACTGCAGGGGGGCAGCAGCATCAGCAAGGGTGGCTGGACGGGCCGAGAAAAGGGCCTGTGAGCCACCCCAAGGGAAGAGCTGAGCAAGGTGGGATGAGCTTGGTGGAGTCCAGGGGCAGGAAGGAGGCTGGCTCGCATGGCAGTGTCCTCAGTGCGCGTGGCAGCGCCCTCAGCGCGCGTGGCAGCGTCCTCAGCGAGCGTGGCAGCACCCTCAGTGCGCGTGGCAGCGCCCTCAGTGTGGGCCAGGTGGGTTGGGGCCGGATGACTCAGGGCTCTGGGGGTCGGGCTGCACTCTAAGATCGCGGACACCTGTCCCCTGGGCAGGCTCCAGCACTGGAGTGGGAGAGATGCCAGTGCCCAGAGCCCAGAGCCCCGCTCCACCTGGCACCCCTGCTGCTGGGCTAGGTGAGGAACACTCTCTTCTGCGATGGAGCCCGGGGGATGGGCAGGGAGGACACCTGGGTTTATGACGCAGAGATCTTTACAGAAACATGACTCAGCGACTGTGAAAGGCAGGCGAGCTGGCTTTCATACAAGGACCACTGCTCAGCCACTATACTCCTGTCTAGGTAAGCCAGGTATGCATGCCGTGGAGCCTGTTTTCCCCTCAAAAGCCTATCTAAAAAGCTTCCTGGAGATAAAGGACTGGATTGGAACAATCTAATGCTTCATTTAAAGGTGGTCAGATTCAGAAAACTCTGTCAGCCCAAACCCATGTTCCACCAAGTCTTACTCTCTGGTCTGCAAGGCAGCAGACATCTCCGCGACTTTTCCAATGCTGGGTTTTGTTGGAAATCCTCCTCCTGAGAGCGAGGATGCCCAGATGTGGCCTTTGCCATGAGACTTCCTCCAATCAGAACCCTTTCAGAGTCAACTTCTCCAGGCATTGCTGCCAACCCTGCCAGTGGTCTCTTTCTCCCGACCTCTGACCCTGGTGAGCTTATAGCCCATTGGGCTTTGACTGTTTTCACTGTTGTCAAAGGTACCCCTTTGAGGTACAGGTGGGAGATCTCATCTCCCAACTTGAGTACAAACCCTGTCCGTGCAGGGACTGTCTGCCCGAACAGAACACCCACAGAGCTGAGCACAGAGGAAAGGACGCGGAGTTTCTGGGAATCCAGGGGAAGCAAGGTTTTACGGGACACTGGGCCCCACACAGAAGGCAGGAGTGGCCGTGTAAAAACGGCCCGAAGGCCCTTGGGAACGTCTCAATTCAACTCAACCCAACTCAGCGAGGACTCACGGGCCCATGCCCACTTCCCTCGACTCAGTGGGGTTTATGACTTTGACCAACAGAGTGCGGCACAGGTGACCCTATGTGACTTCCCCGGTGGTCATAAGGCTATGCAGCTTCTACCTTGTTTTCTGGACACTCACCCTAGGAACCCTGAGCTACTACATTAGAAGTCCTATCCTCTGCGGCGACCAGGCTGTGAAGAAACTAACCCATGTGGAGAGCCCATGGAAAGGGGTCTGCTTGCCAGTTCTGTCTGCACGTTTCCCATCCAGGCAACAGGCAAGTGCATGCACGACCCTTCAGGTCACCTGGCCCCCGGCCAGGAGTGGTCGCCGCTGAGGGTTCCCAGCAGATGTTGTGGAGCAATGTGAACCATCTCCCTGCGCTCCATCGAGTTCCTGATGCATAGAGTCCCTGAGCATAAAATAATTGTTTTAAGCTGCTAAGTTTGGGGATATCTTATCACAGCAGCAATAACCAAACGAAAAAGGAGGCTCTGTCCCTGCAGGTCCCCCAGGGCCTCCTTCCCCTCTTTTTCCAAGTCAGCATCGTTGTGCCTGCATGAAGCTGCCTTTGCTTTGTGCACATGAACCCACTGTGGTCGCCCGGGCCTCCTCATATCACCACTGCATTCCCACACTCCACGTTCTGAGCCACAAGCCAAACACCAGGAGCCGGGATCTAACTGTCACCGCACAAGTTTACTGTGACTCTGCAGCGATATTTTGTTTTAAATGTATTTTCCTTTCTGTTTGCTTGTGTTGGAGGTGCTACACTTTGAAAAGAAGATGAGTTTGTTTTGCCCTGGCTGGTGTGGCTCCGTGGGTTGAGTGTCCTCCCATGTACCAAAAGGTTGCAGTTCGATTCCTGGTCAGGGTACATGCCTGGGTTGCAGGCTCACTCCCCAATAGGAGGTGTGCAAGAGGCAGCCAATTGATGTTTCTCTCTCTCCTGCCCTCTTTCTTTAAAATCAATAAAAACATGTTTGTAAAATTTAGTTTAAAGAACAAGTAAATAAGGTGATTTTTAGAAGTTATCCAAAACCTAGCTAACTTTTCATTCTGAGGAGCCAGGGATCCCATGGCTTGTCTCATCACTTCCTGGTGGCTGTGGACCGCTACTCAGGAGCCCAGTGCGAGCGGGCAGGCAGGCTGGCTGTGGAGCAGCCTCCACTCAGGCCTCTGTCCTTCTGGGTTGTGGGGAGCTTTGTGCAGAAGTGAGAACCAGGGGCGCCCCTGGGCCTTATTTGATTCAGGAACATGACTCTCGTGCATTGTTGTTGGGGAGAGAAAGTAGAACAGAATCCTTATGGGGGGAAAACTGGCCCCAGAGATACAAAAGCAAAAATACAGAGAGACAAATGCATACTGCTGCAATGTTTTTAATATGAAAGGACTGGGAACAACGCCAATGTCAATCAAGGGTGGCTGGTTGGATAAACACTGTCCTTATAACAGAGCACTTTATAGGAGAACATTCTGTCTGGTGCTATGGGGTGTTAATATACCCCATATATACGGTTAAGGGGAAGAGTAGGACCAAGGAAAGTGTAAAGCAGCATGCTGTCCTTCACCATCTGCTTACAGTGTTTTAAGTGGAGGGGTAAAATGGGAAAAGATATTGATTATCTCTGGCAGAAAAGAGTACTAGGATGGAGGGAATATAAAATACAGACTTCTCTGAATACAGCGCATGTTGTGGACTGGACTTTGGAACCATGTAAATAGTTTACCTAACTATAAAAATTTTTTTAAATTAAGTAGCAGTCTCTAAAAATTTAAGCAAAACCAAGTGAATAACCATAACCCTAATTCAAACTTGGGGTATAACCACAGAGAGAGGAACTGTTCTGAGTTATTTTAAAACAGTAACTTGACTGTACATCCCTAACGGCATAGACCCTAGGACAATAAGAATTGCAAAAGAAGACTTTAACTGTTTTCAGTAATTATTTTTTGTGATACTTTTGGCATTGTCATTCTGAGGATTTAAGACAATGTGTAATTATTTTGGTAATTTTGAGAAGGTTTTTTTAAATGAGAGAAAAAAGAGCAGGTATAAGGTCAATGAAGTTACATTAAAAACACTATAGTCTTGACTTGAATTGGGAATACCAATATAAACTCATGTAGTGTTTTTCTCTTAAGAAACACACCTAAGAGTACATATTTCCTAGTTCTGTCCACAAAACCAAGAAACAATGACCAAACCACTACCACTGAGCACCCCTAGCACCAGAGTTTGATCTCTAATTATCACTCCCCACTGAAAGGAACCAGAGTCCCAGGGGAGATGGATGACTTCAGGGCCGTGGCACAGAATATACTAGATGAGCTTGAAACATCTTGTCAAGATCACTACAAAACTATCAAAGAGCACCAGGGTCGTGTCACAAGGAATCAGCCAACTTGAAGCAGTTCCCAAGCCAGAGCAGCACCATCTGAGCAACAGGAAGACTGAAACTGCAACGTATTGAAGCCATGAGTTTATCACCTACTCAGCACACAAGACACTTCTCACTTTCTCCACCTAGGACACTCACAAAGAAGAAACAGTCAGGGAATTTGCCTGCCTTTCCTATACAGACCAAACCTCAGGATAACTAAATAATTGATGAAAAGAGGTTTCTCTTTACAAAGTGTGCCAGCGAGCAATAAAAAATAAACAACAGCACCAGAATATTATTTGCAATGCCTAATGGAGTCATGGATCTGTCAATAAACATCAATGGCTGCTAACGTCAGGAAAGAAGAGTCAACAAGAGTTTCTATAGCTCCCACTGGAAGTAATCTTGAAAAACTAGAAAAGTAGTCTTACAAAACTAAACCTAACAGGACCCTGATTAAGTCTCTCTCTATAAACATCTATATATATAAAAGCCTAAGCGACCGTCATGACTGGTTGACCATAGACGCTCAACACAGGAGCTGTCCCCTGGTGGTCAGTGTGCTCCCACACTGCCAGCCAACCTCTTGTGGTCCCTCCCTCTCCCCCCGCCACCCCAGGCCGAGGCCTCGATTGGGACTGGGCGACATGGCCTGATTGGTCCCGATCACTGGCCAGGCCAAGGGACCCCACCCGTGCACGAATTCATGCACCAGGCCTCTAGTTGATATATAAAAAACAGAGAGGACAGAGAAACACGTTAAAAGACGTAACAGAGATGCATCCAAGAAAACCCAGACTGTGAGAAATTCTACAGGACAAATGACCCAGTCCACTGTCTTCTAATAGGCCTCCAGGTTCTCCAAACATATGCTAAGATGTACAGATGAAAGGAGACTGAGGAGGCATATCAACAAATTATATATTATGGACCCAATTCAAATAAACAGAAAATCATGAGCCATTCAGAAATATTTGAAGGCATTAAGGAAGTATTGCTAACTTTTAGGTATGGCTGGGATTGAAGTTGTGCTTTGTTAAAAGTACGTAGGGTTTAGAAATACATGCTGGAACATTTACAGATGAAATGCTACGAGTGATGTCCAGGGTCTGCTTCAGAATCGTCATTGGGGGGTTAGAGTGGAGATGGAAGAGACTGACTGTGTGTTAATCACTGAGGCTGGTGATCCGGACATGGGCTCATGACACGAGTCTCTCTGCTTCTGCACGTATTTGCAACTGTGCATGATACAAAGTTTAAAAACCCCACTGCCATACACTAGGAAACGACGTCTCTTGGAAAGAGGTACAAATTAATGTTGGAACTGTTAGCTACTCTGGCCTGGCACAGGTTGTGAAGGGACAAAGGAGAGTTGGCTTCCACAGGGAACATGAGGTGAGAGAGAAGAGAGAACGCCAGGTGTTACCCCCGGAGAAGGCCCAGGCATGATCCACAGGAAGGCCCGAGCAGCCGGCACTCTATGTGGTTCTGCGAGGGCAGATCTCGGGATGCAAACCACTGCTTTAGACCGGCCTGTGTGGCATCCAAGTCATCAGGTCATCGTCACACAGTGCAGGTCGGGCCCGTCCTGGGGAGCCTCCACGCGCCTCACCTGCACCCACCCCCGCCCCGGCAAGGAACAGGAGCACACGGAGGTGACACCTCAATTTCAGGAATGTGGCCAGGCCCTTGGGCTCTCCCACCTGGCGTGCCGCCCAGGGGCCTGGGTGACATGCAGGCTTCTGACCTGTCACAGCACCACTTGGAAATACAAGGCTTGGATTACAGTTTCAATAGTTCTTGTAACAACCTGGGAAGCAGATCTGCAGGCCCTGGCTCTGCGGTGGCAGAGATGACAGCTAAACCCATGGGAGGAGAAAAACATCACTCGCTCTTCGTCTGACAAATGAAGACAAGGATAGTGTCCCAGAAACATCCTGATGTGGGCTTGACCACTCACCTGGCAACACGTCCTCTGGCTCCATCTCAGACCAAGGCAAATACAAAGCGTTTTTGAATAATGCACCTGTGATGAAATCTCACCTAGATTAACGTGTATTTGGATATTGAAACCTCCTCAGAGCTCAGCCAACTTCTAAGTTTTAACCTGAATGGTGTCTCCCACCCCATCCTGCCTCACGCCCCGCCCTAGCCGGTCACTGGAGGGCATCTCCCCCTGGCTCTTCCATCAGAAGCAGAAGGCCTGGGACCAATGGAATTCAAGCACCTTCTTAAACTCCCCACAGCCAGGTGTTGCTGACCCATCTCCCATTTGGCCAGGCCAGATTTCCCCCGGGGGAGCAATCCCACATTCACCTGTGAGTTCTTTCTAAGTCATTTATCTTAGTGGGTATGCCTGGATAGGAAGAGAGCTAGGGGTCCCCTCCTACAAGGAACGGGGCCAGCTCATGTTCAGGGGCAGGCCAGGTGGGCAGGGAGAAGCAAAAGGCTTTACTTACTCAGTTAGAAAACCAGGTTATGTTTTGAGATACGATTTCTCAAAAGGAATTAATTCAGGCACAATCTACTCTTTAATGGTGGTCTCTTGGTCTAGAAGAATCAGTATGGGGGTCCCGGGCCCTGCATCCCTCTCTGGTGAGAAGGTTGGCAGGCATGTCACAGAGGGGACACGGACAACAGCAGAACACTGGGTTGTGGCCGAGGACCCACCCCGGGCCACGCACACAGGGCAGAGTTTGACCCTCAGCGTGACTGTCATAATTCAGGACTCGCAACCACCTCAGACAGACATGATCCTCCCCTCCCCAGTTAGTTCAGACTCACAGTGCCATTCACACAGCATTTTCAAAAGCTGCCCATTCCCCTGGAAAAGAGATTTCAGAAAATTAGTGCATAATCAAAGGGAACAACCTTAAAGCAGAAAACAGAAGCGATGGCAGCAGTTTGGGTTTTGTGGCTGCCCTTCTGTGCGACTCTGTGGGCCAGCGTGCAGCGCTGCCCGGGACACCTGGTGCATAGGCAGGTGAGCAGGTGGGCAGGGGGGCCAGTGTCTCGCAGTCAGTGCCCACAGCCGAGGCTTTGAAGAGACGTGAGCCCAGATCTCCACAGCCCACGCTCAAGCACCCTTAGAAGTCATACGGGGACACAAAGATGGTGACCTTGGACACGTGGTTGGCCTGGAAGGAGCGGTCTAGGTATTCTGACATGTCAACGTCCACCTCCAGTGTCTGCGGCCCCTCCAGGGGCTGGACAAGGATCAGCTCCCCCGTCTGGCGGTCTGCGCGCTGCATCACGAAGTGGCCGCGGCTGTTCCCACCGACGATGCCAAACCGCAGGCTGTTGGGTCCGGGTCGGCCGGGCACCGAGGCCATGGCCATGCGGAAGAGCGTGATGGGCGTTGTCAGGTTGGAGGGCAGGGACAGGTAGTGGAAGGAGATAGTCTTGGGCAGGTGGTGGCAGGGCCTGCTGTCCATGGGGCAGGGGTTTCGCTCACATTGACTGGATCAGAGAGACAAGATGTAGGCAGTCAGCCTCGGGGAGACACAGAGGGGCTTCCCTGGCCTGGCCTGTCCCCTGCCTACCCTCTTGCCAAGGCCATTGGAGTGACCTCTCCCAGCCACTGGTCCCCTCACCACAGGTGCCTGGAGCTACAGGCAAGTGAGTGTGGCTGGCGTCAAGGTGGCCAAGGAAGAGGCACTCCCCTAACCCACTTGTGTATGCATGTGTGTGTGTTCCTGTGTGTGTGTATGCGTGTTCCTTGCGTGTGCATGTGTGTGCACGTGGATGCTATTACTATGTTCCTGTGTGTGTGTATGCGTGTTCCTGTGCGTGTGCATGTGTGTGCACGTGGATGCTATTACTATAGCTGTTCCAGAAAAATAAAGCCAGGGAAGATTCAATAGCAAGGGTGATGCTGTATTCAGACCAGGCACCCTCTGCATGTGCTGAGACCTCCATCTAAGGTGGGGACCCAGGCAGGTAGCCGGCGACCTCCTGGGACATGGCGCTCCCCACTGCTGGACTTCCTACATCTCCAAGGGTTATTCACTCCTAAAGCAGGAACCCGTCTGCCTTAACCATTTGGGGCCAGGGTCCGGGGAAGGGCTGACATTTCCCACATAAACACAGACACAGGTGAGCTAATTCGGTGAGTCTCATCATCCTGGGAATTGATGCAGGTTGAATACTACGTCCGGCTGCTCATCGGGGATGTCCCCAGGGCTAAGATGTGTAGGTCCCTCTGCCCTTCACTCTCACTAACAGCTGCCACGCTCAGGGCCTGACTTCCTCACGGCTCCCACTCGCCTGTAGCTCCCAAAGCACTTCAAGGATCTAAGCTGGGGAAGTGGGTTCGTTCTAAAGACAATGCCAGAGCCCTTGGGATCTTTTTAGAAGAAAATGCACGAACTTTGTCATGGTTGTCGTCATTCTCCTTAAAGGCCTGTCTCCCGTCTTTCAAAAAGAAAAAGCTCTATGAAAGTGCTAGGCCCCAGGAGCCCTTTTAGCGCCATGGAAAAGCCGGGGAGACAGGTTGGCAAAGTGTGCGGGATGTGTTGTGTGAGCACGAGAAGGTGGTCCTCCCCTACATCAGTGTGATGGGCACTGCCTCCTGGCCACATCCCCCGGCGGCCTTCCCTCCCTGAAGTGCAGCCCCGGGAGGCTAAGTGCCCTCACCCTCCGAGTCCGCAGGCAGCCCTGGGAAATGAGTCCTGTTGGGCAAACCGGGTTCTGACTGCACAGAGCAGTGATGCATGTTCTGCAACCACTAACGGGACACAGGAGCTCAGAGAACCCAGACTCCCTCTCCCCGCCGTTCATCTTTCCTCGGATGAACTGCACTTTCTCCCAAGACCATTGGGAAAACCCAGCCCAGCCACCTGGGATACTCACAAGGGAGAAGTCTTCACGTAGCTCACGTTGCCGCTGCCCTCTGGGCACTCGGGGCTGACACACTGGAAGCCTCCACCCGTGTTGATGCATGTGGTCCCCCGGGGACACAGGTGCTGTGAGCTCACACACTCATCAATATCTGAAAGAGGGGCACCCAGTTAGGGTGGAGATCGCCGACGTCCCCTCTATCACTGACAGGGCCACTGGAGGGTGTGGTGTCCCCACATTCCAAGCTTTCCAAATGTTCAGGCTGTTTCTTAGAGTGGGGAACTCTCCTCCCGGGATCCTGTCCTCCCTCCTGGGTGTGACAGCTTACAGGGGGCTGGACAGCACAAAGGAGTGCTCCTGCCACCGTGCTTCTCTCAGACCTGCCTCCTCAGCCAAGGTGCCCTGCCGTCTCCCCTCCATGGCTGTTACCACACCCTGTATGATCAAATCATTGAAAGCTTCCTACTCGGCCTCACCCCATGCCCAAAGCAGATGGCCTCACTCTCCTCTGTATGAGTTCTCTGCTCCCTTCACAGGTGAGTTTCCCCACTGAAGTGTGTGTTTCTTCCCAACCCCACACAAACACTGTAGGATGGACAGATGGATGAACAAATGAATGAGAGATGGATGGGTGGATGGATGGATAGAAGAGATGGATGGATGGATAGAAGAGATGGATAGATGGAGGAGACAGATGGAGATGGGTGAGAGAGATGGAATGATGGGTGGATGCACAGATGATGGCTATCTGGATACTTTCTCCTACACCAATCCCCGGTTACCATTTCTCTGAGTCCTGCAGTGGAACCTCAATAGGATGTCACCGGGGAGCCACCTCCTCTCGGTTCCCACAGCCTATGGAGCCTTCTGCCCTCTCTCCTCCTCCTTCTCCCCCAGCAGCTCAGAGCCACAGTCCAGGACCAGCTGGGTTCTTCTCTGTGTCCTGTCTCCATGGGTGACAGCCGAGGAACAAGGATTTGTCCCTCCTCTAATGCGAGGCAGGCCTGGGTTAGCAGACCAGTTTTCTGCAACCCAGAGACCTGCTATAGCATCGGGGTTCCAGGGCTGAGATGTGGGGTGATCTCACTAGAGCATAGTGGCTGTAAGGTGCTTCCTTTTCAGATGGAGACGCAGGCCTGCACCAGCCATGGAGAGGGC